CTATCATTGACTTTTTTTTTTGGCAAGGCAATTGGGGTTAAGTGACTTGCCCAAAGTCACACAGTATTATGTGTCTGAGGTCAGATTTGAACTCAGGTCCTCCTGACTCCAGGACCAGTGCTCTATCTACTGCGCCACCTAGCTGCCCCTTATCTTTGACTTTTAACCCATGGAAGAGGCAAGGGTATTAAGCAAGGGAGGGTGGGCTTAGGTTAAAGAGAGATAACACAGTGGATAGAGTGCTGGAGCTGGAATCAGGGAGACCGGACTTCAAATCCTGCCTTAGATACTCACTAGCTGTATGACTCTAAGCAAGTCACTTAACTTCCTTTAGCCCCAGTTTCCTCATCTGTAAAATGGGAATAATAATAGGATCTACCTCCCAGGGTTGTTATAAGGATCAAATGAGCTAATATTTGTAAAGAAAGCCCTTTGCAAACCTTAAAAATTATATAGATACAGATCTGGCCTTTGACACTAGCTGTGTGACCCTAGGCAAGTCACTTAACCCCCATTTGCCTCAAAAAAAAAAAAAGAATACATTAAAAAAATTAAATAATACTAGCTATTATTTTTTACCGGGTATTCTGTGGCATCCCCACCCACCTAAGATCCTCCTAACCTCTCCCTGACCTTTGGAGTAGATTTATGATTAAGTGTCTCCCCATCATTCCCCACCACCCCCAAGTCAGGAACAATGCCCTTACCTGCACGTTTAGGATTGTTCATTTCCTAGGAAAACTCCCTGCCCCTATAAGGGGTCTATAAGAAACCCCTGGCTAAAGCAGAATTTTGCCTTATTATTAAACTCAACTTCCACGACCGTTATGGCTGGGGGCGACTCCCCTTTCTGTCTGTCCTGAATCTCCAACTTCCTGACTGGTCTACCCTCTGATAACTAAGTCACCTATACTACTCTAGCAGAGGCTTATACGATCATAGATTTGGAGTTGGAAGAGATCTTATCAATGAGTCCAGTTGCTTCATTTTACCGAAAAGCAAACAAACCCAGGCTGAGAGAGGTTTAAATGATTTACCCAGCATCACAGAGCTAGTTAGTGTATGAGACAGGATTTGAACTCGGGTCTTCCTAACACCAAGTCCAGCCTGGTATCTGCTACACCATACTGTCTCTCTTTCTGGTAATAGAAAGAACACGAGTCAGAAATCCTGAGTTAGAATTCTGCTACTGGGGCTGCCTGACTAAGCAACTTGACTTATTTCACCTCCCTGAGTCTTAGTTACTCTATCTGTGGAATGGGAATAATAACATTTGTCCTATTCATATCACAGAATTATTACAAGAGAAATTATTTGTAAATTTTGAAATGCTAGAGAAATATAAATTTCAATAGCCAATTATTTGAAAAGAGTTATGATTTCACTGGAGGTGGGTACTCCCTTTGCTGATGTAGATAGTACCCATTCCACAGTTAAATGAATTGCTGTAGGGGGAAAAAAGGGATTCCCTAGAGGCCAGCCCTTTGGTGATGAGCCTCTCCCCACTAAGCTGGGCTGGTCCTGGAGTGACAGGCTCACAGACCTTTGCCAAGCCCAGACTTGAAGCCTCCCCAGCTTTGAAGGACCTGTCAGAGTTTGTGGTCTTTGGGCATGGTTGTTAGGGACCCTAGGTCACCCATACCACAATGAGGCACCAAAGGAAAATTTTAGAGGAAAAAAAGCCCATTTGTTATAATTATTCTCATAGCATTATGACTGTGTTTGGCTCACCCAGCCTTTCAAAGGAGACCTCATCATCCAGTGACAAGAACACCAGACTTGAAGGACATGGGTTAAAATCTCAATCCTGCCACTCACCACCTCTGAGACCCTGGGAAAATCACTTAACCTTCCTAAGGCCCCAGTTTCTTCATCTACAAAATGGGGAGGTTGAATTCAATGACCTCTAAGGGTTCTTTGAGTTCTACATCTCTGATCCTCTAAACCATTTCCTCCCTCTGCCTTTCAGTTTCCTCCTCTGTAAAATAAATGAATTGGGTACCTCCTGTCAACCGGGCTGAACCAGCCTCTAACCTGTGGGTGACCACAGCCAAACAGAGCAGGCTAGAGACAGGAGAGTCAAGAATCAAATAGAAGTTTAATTTCAAAGTGAGGGAAATGCCTTGCAAGCAAGGAGGGAAATTAGACACATGTGCTGGGGTCCCACACCTAGTGTGTCTGTGTGTGTTTGTGTGTGTTGGGGGGCGCTTTAGTGTGGCTGAACCTTGATTTATATATTTGTGGCTAGACAAAGAGTCAAACAGGGTAGTGTAGCAATAGCAGTGAGGCAAGGTTGTCTAGTGACAAAAAGTCTGTCTGTAGCAAGGCTTCACGTCTGGGCCCAGCTCAGGGACCGTCAGATCACCCAGAGGGTGAGCACAAAGGATGGTTGTTATGCCAAGCTCAGGGCACAGCCTGCTTGCTGGACCTTAGCTCTGGAAAGGAGGGTGTCTCCTAATATCTTGATGCTCCTGGTGTCCCCATCCGACTCTCCTGCCTCCTTTTGTGTGTTATCTTTCCCCTCCCCCTTAGATTGTAAGCTCCTTGAGGGCAGGGACTGTCTTTCTTTGTATTAATTGTATCTCCAATGCTTAGCACAGTGCCTGGCACATAGTAGGTTTTTAATAAATGTTTATTGGATTAGATTGAATTGGACTGAGTGTCTCTAAAATCTTGACTCCAAGTTCTATGAGCCTATGAATCTGCCTGCCACTCCCTGGGACCCCTGTCATGAATGAGATCAAAGAAACAACAGACAGCAATTTACTGAATTTTCACATTCTTTAGCAGTCTTCTCTTGTAGGGATCTTTTAATGACACAAGATGCTGAAGTCAGACATTGAAATGGAACAACTTAAAGGGTGATTTGATTATCACACCAGGATTTCATCCTTTCAGCTGTGTAGGGTTGTAGATTTGAGGCACTCCATTTCTGAATTTCAATATGCAGCATACTTTTATTTTTTTTCTCTTTCTTAACAAACCACCAATATTCTGTTTTTAAAAATTTTCCATCCAAAAAGTATAACTTGAATAAATTTAATCTTTCTTCCTTTCCTTTTTCCCTTCCTTCCTTCCCTCCTTCCTTCTTTCCTTCCTTCCTCACTCAGATTGGAAGTACAGAGGCCTGCTCCTACTCTGATCAACAAAAATGCTTTGACTTGTTCATTTTCTGGCCTGGGCAGGTTTGGCCTTCTTTAGGCAGCCCAGCAGTCTTGCACTCCTAGAGACTCACCACATTTAGGTCAGACACAATGTGGACACCTAATCAGTTTAACCCCAGGTAACTCAGAACTCCTGAGTTCAAGAGACCCCCTAGCCTTAGCCTCCTCAGTTACCAGGGATTACAAGCCTGGGCTATCACTGCCTATTTATTTCCTTGTTTTCCAAAAAAAAATTTTATTAAAACAAAACAAAAAGCACTTTACTATACCCAGGATATGGGCAGATCATCTTGAAAGTATTCCTCTTAGAAGGAATGTTTTGTTTTTAACTTCTTGGTACGGTTTCAGGATTTAATATTACCACAGCTACCTAAAAGTTCTTCTGGGTTCTTGTGTCTATAGTGGCTTTTTTGAATGAAGTTATTTTACTCTCCTGTTCAAAGGACCCTAATGATTTCTGAAAGAAAATTATATTAGAGATTTCAGTGGCAGGATGATAGCCTGACTATAGCTACCCCTGTGAAGTACCAGCGTCAGAAAATAATTCAGAGACGGTGTGCCATTTGTAGAACAGGTAATTAGATGTTAATGGGAGACTTGATTGTATCCACCAGGGATCAATTAAACATAGTCCCTCACTCTCCCACCCCACTTCATGTAAGAGCAAAAGCTTGCTTCTTTGCCAGCCCCTACCTGCATAAAGTGTTAATGGTCACAGAAGAAACTTGAAAATATTCTATGATGTGAGGGAATAACCTATGCAGGGATGCAATGAAACACTCTGCCTCTTCTGAAGATAGGGGGAGGGGAAGGGGAGGGGAAGGGGGAGACAGAAGGAGAGGGAGAGGGGAGGGAGAGAAGGAGAGGGGGCTGGGCCCAGAGACAAGAGCATGAAACATTCTATTGAAGGAATCAGTTCTAGGCTCTATTTCCCCTCAGGGACTGAGCTATAGCCAGCAGCAGATCCACCTCATCCATTCTTTGAGGCCTCTGGGATACAGGATTGGGTGGGGCAATGGTGGCAGGAATTCTCTCTACATCAGGGTTTGAGGAGGGGACCACTTCTCTAGTTCTTATAAATCAAAGGATGGATGGGCACTTAAAGACTGTCAATTTAGTGGTTCTCAAAGTGTGGTCTTCGGACACCTGAGACCCCTTTAAGGGGTTCTTGAGGTCAAAACTATTTTCACAATAATACTAAGACTATTTGTCTATTAAAATCCTCCTAGCTTTTCAAACTACAGATCTGTATGAGAGCTAACACTTATGCTGCCTACCTCATTGGGTCAATATGAGGAAAGCAGAGCACGTAAAGTCATTAATTTCTGTGGCTCTCTATTGCCTCTAGAATAAAATATAAATTCCTCCGTTTAGCTTTTACTTACCCAACACAACCTAGCCTTCCAGCCCCAGTGGACATTACTCCCCTTCCTGAACGGTGAAATCCAGCCAAAGAGGCCTTCTCCTTGTTCTTCAATTAGGACACTCTTTCTCCCATCTCTGTCTTTGCACTGGCTGTCCCCCAGGCCTCCTTATCTCCGCCTCACGGAGGTGCAGCCCAGGCACCAGCTTCTGCATGTCTCCTTTCCTGATTCCACCAACAGCGAGTGCCCTCTCTCCCAAACTACCCTATATTTAGCTAGTTCACACACATTCATTTCACATTTATGCTGTCTATATTTCTGTACTTGTCTCCCCCATTAGAATGTAAGCTCTTTAGAATCAGGGATCATTTCATTCTTCTGCCCCCCAATGACATTAACCGGCATGTAGAAGGTACCTAATAAATATTCACTGATTGATTGTTGGAGTGTTTAGACGTGTGTGCAAACTCACCTGAGTGGCCCAGAGTTGAAGCAGCATGGCCCTGGCCTGCATCTCCTCCCCGGCTCCCAGTTCTTCCAGATATTGCTGGTAACTGTCCAGCCAGGCACTTTTGTGGGCCCTGCCCACCAGACTTTGTGGGGAAAGAAGCTTCCAAAGATGGGCTTTTACTCGGGAGGCTTCTTTCTTCTCCTCTGCAGGGAACACATCACAGAGAGTCAGGGCCTGTACCCAGCCTTTCTGGGTACACAAGGGAAAAGAGACACTTGTAGGGATATTAGAGGGCCTCCTGGCCCAGGACTTCCCCTTCCCTGGTCAAGGCAGTCCTTGTATTAGAAGACTTCCTTCATGGTACCTGGCTCTGTACACAGAGCCAGCCCTGGGGTGGTCTGGCGAACTTACACCCGGCTCCCTGCTTCAGGAGGCCCATGAGGCTCAGACAGTTCAGGAAGAGAAAGGACTACTGTAACAGCCTCCAAATTGGGCTCCCTGCCCTCAATCTCTGCCCTCTCCAATTTACCCTTTTGGCTGCCAAGTTGAAAGTCCCAAAGCACATATCTGACTATACTGCTCCCCTTTTCAAGAGACTTGAATGCCTTTCTGCTGTTCCGGGATGAGATACAAACTCCTTTGGCATTCAAATCCCTTCACAGTTTGGATTCACCTCTCTTTCCAGATGATTTCCCATTTCTCCCTCTCACACACTTAGTATTCCAGACAAACCAGCTTACTTGCTATTTCCCAGACACAACATCTCATCTCTTGCCTCTGGACCAACAGAGGCTCATGTTTGCAGGCAAGCAGCTAAAAGATGGCCCCACCCCATCTAATAACAACATCCAGAAAGAATCTACCCTCCATCTGGTCCTGTGTTTTAGAGGTGGTGTGCAGATCTTTGTGAAGACCCTAACAGGCAGGACCATCACCAGGGAGTAGAGCCCAGGAACACTATTGAGAATATAAAGGCCAAAATCCAAGACAAAGAGAGCATCCTTCTGGCCAGCAGAGGCTCATGTTGGCAGGCAAGAGGCTGGAAGATGACTGCACCCTAACTGACCACAACATCCAGAAAGAATTCACCCTCCATCTGGTCCTGCCTCTTAGGAGTGGCTGTTAATTGTTGATCTAATTATGAAAGCAAAAATTGCCAATGACAGCACTGTTTTGCATTTGTAGCTCTTTAAAATCCTAATATTAAGTTTTGAGATTAGCAGGTTCAGGAACAGCTGAGCCAAATGCTAATAAAGGTTTTTGCTGCACACTGGGAAAAAGAAAGAAAGAAGGGAAGGAAGGAAGGAAGGAAGGAAGGAAGAAAGAAAGAAAGAAAGAAAGAAAGAAAGAAAGAAAGAAAGAAAG